TGACAGGCAGTAGGTCCACGATGCTTGATACATAGGGCCCATAAGGGCAGCAGACCTCGGAGGAAGCCAGTGCTTCTTCACGGACACTGAAACAGGCACTAGCTGGGGCAAGTTACGTCACCACTCTGTGCTTCAATGGTCTCAGCCCTAAGATGAAGATTAATGTGAGTATGAAAAAAAGTAATGTGTACAGAAGAGAATGGTGCCCAGTATTTCATATAGACAATGGAGAAATTGCTAAAAGTTTACAAATAAGCTTCATGTCCTAATTTTGGGATGTGGAGAACAGAAAGAAATAGCAAATATTAGCAAACTGTAATGCATCACAGCTTTGTAGCAGATATTATTAAACATGATTTACAGCACAATGTCTCAAAAGAGTAACCATGACTTCTCAGGATGACTAAGTGAATGTTAGAGCCAAGTCTGATTTAAGATTGTGACATTTGTCCTTTATGAAGCACTACCTCTTAAGGTCAACGTGTCTCCTACAACTACCGTGATGGAAACTAAGGGACATGGCGCATGCCAGTCTGCTCTGGATGTGAGAAGTGGTGCACAGCATACAAGGCAATTGTGCACACTACAATTCATGCTCCTTTTAATATTTACGGTGGAAGAAAATAAATTCCCATGTCCATTTGTTTGAGAGAAGGAATCTACAGGAGTTTTTGACTTTGTATTCTTTGTCTTTGACTAAGGCAGAAATGATTTTTTTATAGGAACCCCAATGGCATGGTTTTACATCAGGCCCCTTTGGTTTGGAAATACTATGATGAATTTCATTACTCATACAACGGTCGTGGACACTTGGGGGATCAAGAGCACCTGTTAGTGGAAATATCCTTGAAATGCAGGTCTCCGGGGCCTCACAGAGTGGATTATTGCGAGGACAGTTCACTGTTTATTAACTGAAGGGTGAGAAGTCAGGACAGATTTCTCAAAGCATTTCTTCTAGATTTCCCTCCTTAAGAATGTTATCTCCTATACCTATTAGCAACAGTCCCTCTTTACTGATCCGAGTTCCTTTCAACTGGAAATTGAGGAAAGCGAAACCGGGGGTTTCTAGTAGAGGTAGGACTTCATTCCCTAAATGTACGCAGTGTCTACTTCTAAGGGTGCCAAGGATGAAATAAATGCAGACATCAACTGGTGCATGGCAACTTACTAACTATAAATGGTAAAGAGAGGAATTAGTTCAAGGGTAGGTCGGAAGCATCCTCAGAGAAAAGAAAACTGACTGAGGCATTCACAGATGGAGATAACCAGGTCACATTTGCACTACAGTTATCTTTTACATAAAGATAGGAGAAGCAGGAAGCAAGAATACCTGGTTGAGGCAGAGGTTTTGGAATCAGAGAAGAGGATGAACTGAGGTGTCAGGAGGCAAACCCCACAGGACTTAGACAATGACACCTGAGCGTGTGTAAGGTGTGCCACGTACCAGAGACATTGAGACATCACTAGGTGTCCCACCCCTCTCCTGCCGCCACATCCGTCACTCCTATGAGGTTAGCTATGACCACGCAACTTGTTTAGGCCAGGGAAATGAGCTCCACCGCAATGGACACTTGGACGCCCAGAATTAATTTACTATTCTCAGCCAAGTGCACGGCAATACAACTTGTATTTGGACCTAGTCATTTTTCAAAGTCCTGATACAGCTTTCATAAGGCTAGTTAAAATGTATGCTCATAGCTCACACTGTAAAGGGCTGAGTACCTGGGAATCTCAATGTGAATTCTAGTTTAGAATCAGACTGGGCAAACTCAGTCATCCAGTCCCTTTAAAAGTCAAGCCAAAACTGGGTACAGGGACTCATGCAAGGTGACAGGCAACTTGCTCATGTCTATGACCATGTGACTTGTACAGTCTAGGAAAAAATACAACTACAAGGGACACTTTAAAGTACAAAATGCAGTTTTGTATTCACAGTGACCAAGTGCAAGGTAATGGCTTTGCCAGACCAAACCCCCAAATCACAACAACATAAGGCTGTGGGTCCCTGTCCCCAAAATGAAGTTTGATCTACACCTGTATACAGCACAAGTGAACCTTTGCTTTTAGCCTACTGAGTAATGGTGGTTGTCACTGCAGCCTAATTGAGCTACCATGAACAATCTAGTAAAAGCGTACAGTCATCTCAGATGTGTGTCCAGTCAGGAGCTGTACTTAGCAACAGGCAAGCTGTTAAGTGCAGTGAGACCTGCAGATGTAAGATTCACCAAAGGTTGTGAGGAGGGAGATGTTTCACCTGTTCCCAAGAAAAAATGATGGGAAAAAAAAAAAAGTAAATACAGACTTGAAGAATTGAATTTATATTTCTTTTAGCTTAAGCTAGGATTCTGAATGTCAAATGTTGTGTGTCACTTGCTAATCTCTTTCTAGCACATAAGAATTAAAGAAATATGGTAAATAACTAAAAGCAAAGCCTGGTTTCGTATCCCATATACTCAACTTTTATGACTGGCTTCTGCCTCAAAAATATAACTACCTTGACCACCAACAAAAGTATGAGTCAGGTAAAATAACGCCTCCAAAGCATGGCGTAATAGGTATGCAAGACTCTGTAGCATGTTACAAACGAGGAAGCATGGAGTTCACACAGCGGGAACCAAGCGAAGACTATTTTCAAAACCTGTGATTTGCATGACCTTTATACCTAACTTCCTCTTTGAGCTAAATATTTTATTCATGGTCATCGAGTAAATAAGAGAATAGCTTCAGCTGGAGTGGGGAGGGGTACTTCCTAAGGTTTGATTCATATGGAGAAAAGTAGAAAACAGAGGAAGCATGCCGGGTAGAAATGATGGGTATGAGGCCAAGGGGGTGGAGACGGAATGAAGTTCTAGAAGGCAAAAGGGAAAATGGGGATAAAGCCAACATCACCCTATCCTTTGTATTGCTAAGCAAACACCACCAAAGGCTTCTCCTGCTAGAAACCAGCTTAGAGGATGCAGATTGGCAGACGTTATGTAGTGGCTTCCTGACCCGTCCTGCTTGTTTGTGCTTGAGAATTTTATAGCAGCAGACATCGCAACAGCTGATTGCATTTAAACTGAAGCTCTGTCTCAGGTAGTGACTCTACAAGCTCCAAGATAAGCGAGGCTTTGTTTCCTTCTTTCTTCCTTCCTTTCCTCTTTCCTTCCTTCCTTTCTTTCTAAACCGATAATACCCTCTTCAATAGAAACGTGTCTTCTGTTTCTCCTGATCCAGTAATGCCAAAACTACATATTGAGTAATCTTAAACTATTTCCAATATAAAGTACTTCTTACAAATTTAATATGTAAGAGACATTAGGACAGGAAAAAGTAAAATGTCATCCTCAATATCCATGACTTTATTAGGGACTAAATGTTCCATAGGAAAAACAGAGGCTGAGGCTCTATCTAGGTCATAGTTCAAAGTTTGACTCCACCACTTACTGCCAGGTGACCAGACAGTAGGAGCAGAGAGAGCAAACAGCGGACAAAAATTCAACTTGTGTTTGCAAGGCAGACTCTGCTGCATACATTTATCTTATGGAATCCCAGCCGTCTACCAAACACAGTCCAATACTTGCCTCATTTGCAAACAGAGATGAAGGTGCAGAAAGAATACACAACGCAGCCCAAGTCAGCAGACACGACAGCAGTACTACAGAATACCAGCCCAGTGTTCTCATCTGTTGCAGGCAACAATTGTTGGATGTGTACAGAAACTTCCACCAGCTGAGGAACGGCAGATACCGGAAAGAGCCTAGACTAGCAGTTAGCATGTTCTGTGTGGATAAGGAAGATGCAGGATGTGCTGGAGATAGGACAAACTATCGGAACAAAACTATACAGGATCCTGAGCCCCAGTCACTTTTCAAAGTCTTGGCACCACTGATGTACTCTAAGGCTGATGAAAATTTAGGTTCCTATTTCACAATGTGGAATGGTAGAAGCTGAAAGGCGGAGGCCAAATCACTGCTGGATCTCAGCACTTCCTGCAGTTCCCTATTAGGTGAAGGGCTGAATACCTGGGAATCTCAGGTGTGAACTCAGCTCAGAATCCCCAAACAAACGAACAAACGTGGGAAACTCAGGCATTATGTCCCTTTATGTCAAAGCAAGTCAAAACTGGAGATGGGGATTCCCACTTCTACTCCAGGTATCCTCAACTAAGGGGGTGGAGGCAGGAGACTCACTGCCAGTCTGAGGCCAGCCTGAGCTAGAGTTATACTCAGGACAAAACAAAGTCAGATAGGTTTAATCATATGTTCTAAGCGGCAAAGTTTCCCATCAAGTGGTCCCTACCTCACCAGCAGTGTTTCTACCTTACACCAGGTGTACGGCAGCTACAGGGACCTACACAAAATAAGCAGAACGTATCAGAACGTATCAACACAAGACCATGAGTCTTTACATGGAGGAAGAAAAGTGGATGCTCATTTTGTTTTATTAGACTTCAAAATAGAAATCTAAAGAAAGATAAACAGGATTCTTAGCTTTTGCACAGTATTACAGCAAATTACTTTCAAGAATTACAAATCTAGGAAACTCCAAGAACTGGAGTGTACTGCTGTCTCCTCTACTGCTAAAACAAAAGCGGCCCTCAGCCCCAAGTAACCAGATGCGTGAATCAAAACCCGGATGCATCAATGAAGGGCAGAGAGTAAGCTAGGGAGGTCGAGTGATAAAGCCTCACTGCTTGGTAGCTGCCAAGGCTGTTTCTGACACGCAAAAGCAACAGAACACTTACCTTTGCGCGATCCCCCGACCCAAGTTTAAAGGATACTTCATTTACCAAACTCATACACAAACACACGCGCCCAGAGAAACAGTTCTTTATCGGGTCTTTCAAGGGGCTGTGTTATATGCAATTGTAAGATTACTTTCTCAGGGTACCAAAACAAAACATGACAATGACTCCTCTGCTGGGTAATATGTGATGGGGCGCCTCCCAGGGTGGTCACAAGGCCGCCGCTGGAAGGCAGATGTCGGGAAGATGGGCAGGCCCGAGGGACCCCACTTACCGAAAACACTGCATTCTGAAGCCCAAAAGGTATGGGAGTCAGCCGGGCCAGCGCCACCACCTTCAGGCCGCTTCCCCCCTCCACGACGCGGATAACGGCGCTCAGCTTGTCGCTGCTCTGGATCCTGGCGGCCACCCAGGCGGTGAGCAGCCGCTTGCAGACCACATGAGCGATGAAGGTGCCGATGAGGACGCCCACTACCATGAGCCCCATGCCTAGCACGAAGCCATACAGGTAGCCGGCCGCCACGTTGAGCACGATGTAGCCCCAGCCACAGGGGAAGGAGACCACGATGAAGCCCACGACGAAGAGCAGGACACCGAGCAGCGAGTCGAGGCTCTCCACCCAGAGCAGGAGGTGCTGCAGGTAGCGGCGGGCCAGGGCCAGGGAAGCGAAGCACAGGGCGGCCAGCACGCACACCAGCGCGAGGCTCCGGCACCAACAGGTGCTGCCGAGGCAGCAGCACCGCCAGTTTCTCACCTCGGCCACCCCGACCACCACGCAGCCGCTCCCCGGGCCGCCCGCCAACGCCCCGGCAGGCGCCGGCAAGTCCGAGGCCGCGGGCGGACCGTGGCGCTCCAGATAGGCGCCGAGCAGGGCGCCCGAGGCCGCCGCCGCCGCCGCCGCCGCGCTGGCCCCGCCCCCGCGGGGAAGGCGGTCCTCGGGGCAGTCCCCGCCCGCCGTCCGCTCCGGTGCCCAGCGGCCCGGCTGCTCCGCGCCGCCCAGCCGATCGGAGTGCTGCAAGGCCCGGGGCAGCGTGTGGAGCAGGCTCCCGCCGGGACTCCGCATGCCTGGGCCTCAGCCGGCCAGCGTCTCCGCTCCCGCCGCGTCCGCCCGCCAGCCGCCTTCCATGGCACCGCGCACGCCCGGCCTCAGCTGCCTGCGGTCCCCGCTCGCGGCGAGGGAACGGCCGGGGAAGGGCGGCGAGTGGCGGAGGCGAAGCGGTCCCGCCGGGAGTCGGGCGACTCTGGACCCCCCGCCCGCAGGGCCCGCCCCTTTGGGTCCGAGGGGCGGGGCGCGCGCAGAGGGGCGGAGCCGTAGCTGGACGGTCGGCCACGCCTCCGTGACGCCTGTCCCGGGCCGCGATGAGGGAGTGGCGCGGTGTCCGGGTCTCTGGGGCGACGGAGGCCTCGGCTGCCCGGGCGAATGACTCGGGCCGAGGGAGGCCGCGGGAAGCGGAAAGGGGACCCCGGGCTGCGCGCTCCCCGCGCCCACGAGCGCGCGCGTGCCTGCGTGTCAAAGACCCTTGGCCGCAGCTGCTGGCACCTCTGGCCTGCCCAGTGCCTTCTTAGCGGTTTCCGAAGTGGCCCCTCCTGCGAGCTGGCAGCGCTGAGGCTCACGACCGAGGCTGTCTGGCTGCTTTAGGGGAGGAGTCAGTTCAGTTCAGTTCAGAGGGTAGACGTGCCTTCCCAGATAGCAAGGTCTCCCAATGTGTTCTAGGCAACTTGACCGTTTGGGAGCCCAGGGAATTGATTGTGGAGTGCTACTCTCCAGAGAATGCCTCTCTCAGTCCCCAGTCCTTTACTGAGTGCCTAGCACTGTGCGGGGGACAGTGGAAAAGACCCCCGGAAGACCTTTGTTAAGGGTTCCTTTCCACTGCCTATAGACTGATGGCTGATGCAATGCTAGAACAAGGTAAGGAAGGAGTCAAGGATGCAGAGGATCCTGTCTGGAGTTCTTATTTGAGGTGGTATGTAGATAGGGATCCACAGATTAAAGGAAAATATTACAACTGAAAAAAAAAAAAAAAACACTAAGGTTGATTCATGAGAGTTGAGCTGCCCAAAATGCCATCCAAATGTGGCATTCCAGTAGATGGTTGAAAATGTGAATACGGAATTGACAAGAGTTATCACTCCTAGAAATGCTGACATTGGTATAGAGGCAGCAATCAAAATCATGGTTATGGGTAAGTGACTATCCCATTTTCTTCTCGGTAGGCTGGCTTGTCTGTCCAGACCTTATGTTTGGGTCAATCTTGACATATTTTTGCCAGTGACTTGGGACTAGCTTCTAGATGCTGATAAAAACCTTCCAAAATCCTTTCAGTCTGTGCCATGCCAATTACAGTTTTCTAGACTGAGCTCTGTGAGTCTTCATCTTGGGAAGGAAGATGAAGAATAAATATCCCAATTCGTGATGCAAATGTAGAGTGAGGAGAAAAAACCACTGACACGTGAGAGTTTTATTTCAAGGGCTAGTCTTTTTCACTTCTGAGTGGTGTCAATGAGAACAGGTCTAAGAAACGAAACCACGAAACATTGTTATGCTTCTTAGACCCTTGTGAAGAGACTCTGGAAGACCGCCTCAATATTATTTAATAATAATAGTAATGATAGTAACTGTCATCATTATTATTAAGAACCCCTATTTCCTGCTCTCATCCCTGCCTTACTCCCATACCAACTCCATAAGTAAGTGTTGAGTTCGTCTCCAGTTCACATTGTGGACAACTGTAATACAGACACGAGTTCTGAGCCAGCTCATGGTCTACCAGCCGGCCTGGATGGGCCAAACTTGGATCATGAGTCCTTCCCTGCCTACACAGTGCTGAGCCTATCCGAGATATTATCTGCCTCCAGGACCCATAGTGCTTTGGCCATCACAGTGTAAACTGCAATGGAGCATTTCCACTCTTCCCCCACTGGGATTTATTTTTCGTAGAATTGTGAAAATTATATGTTACAACTGGAAATGAAGCATGCGTTAGTCCACACAAGATCAGCCTAACTCCAATATGGAAATATAGCAAATCTTTCCCTGACCTACAAAGGTGTTTATGACGTCACCTGCTGCCACTCCTACCTTCCTACCTCATCACCCCTTGCCCTTTCACACACTAGCACCTGGCCTCCTCTCTACTCTCTTGTGCGGGCAAGTTTCCTACTTCAGATTGTTCACATTCTATTCCTCTTGGGTGAACAATCTTCCCTTGTCTCTTAGTAAGCCCAGTCCCTCCCCCGCCTTTTTTCCCCCCTACTAATATTAAGCTCTACCGGCTTCTACTCAGAGATGACATCTGTGATGACTTTTATTTGAAGGACAAGTCTGCCTCCCAAAGAGTCGGGTACTTCCTACTTTCCTCCTAGCACAACCCCTACCTGGCACTGTCTTGTGTGCTGAATTGTTCACATCAGTCTTCCCCAAGTGAAGGCACTGTGAACGTTGCCATTGTTACTGTCTTGTGATTCCCAATAACCCAGCTTTTAAGAATACAAGAGAGAATCTGTATCTTTAATAAGTTAATTTATTTTGTTTGTTTATTGTCATTAAGTTAACATCCAAGGAATGTGTTTCATTATGGAATTTTAATAATGTGTTTTTATTTGCCACCTTCTATTGTCTTCTGCCCCATAACCTACTCTTAATAGTCCCCTTCCCTGTGACGCCTTAATAATTCTCCCTTGCATTCATGTAACAATTCATATATTCTATAAGCATCTCTCTTTCACCCCTCCCTGATTCCCTCATACTTCTCACTCTCAAGTTTCAACACACACACACACACACACACACACACACACACACACACACACACACGTTTTGCATAGTCAGTACATGCAGTATTAGTCTTTAAGTCTGGCTTATTTTGCTTTATACAATGTGCTCCATCTTTCCTCTTTCTACAGTGTCATAGCTTCAGCTTTCGTTAGAACTGAATAAAATTCCCTTATGTATATCTATTACATATGTGTCCCATTTCCTTTACCCATTAATTTGCTGGTAGGTGTCCAGGGTGGTTCCATTTCTTAGCAACCATTAATGTGAATATGTAAGTACAGTAAGGACCTTTAAGTGTGTACACCCAGGATTTTTTTGTTTGTTTGTTTCTAGTATAAAGATTATTTGGTTGGTTGTGTTTTTTGTTTGGGTTTTTTTTGTTGTTGTTGTTGTTATTTGCCATTGATTTTTCTTTATTTTTGAAGAACCCTCCATTCTGATTTCCAAATTGGCTGGCAGCTCTCTAGTAGCTCACCCACCAGCAGTGAGTAAGGATTCCATAAGGGTCCCTCTTCCTACATCCTCACCAGCAATTGTTCTCCATTTCCTTGATGAGCACCATTCTACTGCAGTGAGAGAACTCTCAGAATGATTCTAATATACATTTCACGAATGGCAAAGGAAGTTAATGGCCACTTGCGCTTCTTCCTTGGACAACTGTCCATTCAAATCATTAATTCATTTGTTGATCAGAAGATTTGCGAATGTTTAATTTTTCAGTTCTTTATATGTTCTAGAGAGTAACCTTTGTTAATGAAATTTAGCAATGAAGTTTTCCCCCTATTCTGTAGGACTCTGTAGGATTTCTTTTCTGTGTGGATACTTTTTACCTTTTGCATAACTCCACTGTCAGTCCCTAGAGTTACTTCCTTTTCAGAGAGTTCTTGCCTATGGTATATCCAGATGTTCTCTATTTTAAACTGATTTTTCTTCTGGGTAAGAAATGTGGATATAACTTCACATTCAGTTCTCTTGACACCATTTATTGAAGAAGTTGTCATTTTTCCAGTGTATGTTCTTGACGCTTTTATTAACAACTAGGTGGCTATAGCTGTGTATGTGTGTGCTTGCCTATAGGCCGTCTATCCTGGGTTTTTTTTTTGTTTGTTTGTTTGTTTGTTTTTATTTGATTCTGTATTTGGTGTGTTTTAATTGCCGCATGGCTGCATCATAATTTGCTGTATTACTAGTTAGTTAAATATTGTGACACTCTCACTGCCAAATGGAACACATCTCCACACCACAATAGCAACTGTCTAAGACGTTCTTTATGAAAACCTGTACCTGTGTAAAACATGGATTGATGGTTCAATAAAGAAACAAATTTCAAGGCAACCAAAATATGAAGCAAAAGTGGCATTATTAAGACTAGAAAGGTTCTCCCAGATAGAAAGAGTAAGCACATCCAATAGGACAAGTATGGCTTCTCTAAGAAAAAGTCACAATTAGGTTTTAATACAATGGATATATGTTCCAGGATATTTGATTGCACTGTGAAACCCAAGACTGTGCTAATAAAATCAGCATTGGATCAGGTGGAAGAGCTAACAACTGAAAGACCCCAAGAGTTCGGAGCCTGTCAGGGGGAAGGCCCTTGCCCCCAAGAGACGAGACCAGACCCCTGGATGCAAGCACAAGAGGCTGTTTATTGCTTACACAGGTACCTGTGGATGCTTCAGTCTTTGGGGGACTGAGCATGCCGAGGTTAAAACTCAGGCAGTTTATATAGGGTTGGGGTGGCAAGAAGCAGGCTTACAGAAGCAGAAGCACCGTTACAGGGATTTCATTGGTCCATTCAATTAAGGCAATTGGGGTTAACCAAGGACAGAGTTGCTTATTCGGGTTGGGCACAAGGAATACAAAGAATTCAGTTATGACTATCTCAGCACTCTGGTGGTCTCGATAGAATGCTCCCAGGACCTTCTGTTCCCAGATATTGTCCTGCTGACCTTGCTTTGGTTCAAGCTGCAGACCACAGATATCTGGTTGGCGTTGGATAAGAGCAGCACCTGGTTCCCTCCTGTACTTTTCCAATAACTTGACCTTGGCAAATTGGCAAGAGCAGTTCAAACAGGCAATAAGCATAGTGGGGGTCTTTCACAACTAGATGACAGGAATTAGCCATAGAGAGTATGGAGGAGCCAGGAAGATGGATAGAGAGACATACCGGAAGGAGTTGAGAGGGACTTAAGAGTTTCATGGGCTTTTGGGCTTGGGATGGCTGAAGAGACACTCTTCATAATGAATAAAAAGATGAACTTATTTATTCATTTACTCATCCATAAGAATAGAGTCCTATTTTTGTTCTGACTCCCCTCCTCTACCTGGCCACACAGAGACAACTTCTGATCTGCCATTTATGAAGAAGTGACATAGTAACTATTTTACATGCAGCAAGGATAAGTGGACGGTGCGCTTGTATG